TGATGCGTTCTCCTCTCTTCCCGGGCGGACCAATGTCCTACAGCACGACATCTGGACGCTGCCAGGGGTCGTCGTCAGGCAACGGCCCGCTCTCTGAGCTCCGGAGGGCTGGACTCAGCGCCAACCCTCGCAAATGCCACCTTGCCCTCTCCAAGGCGAAGTACCTGGGTTTCCAGGTGGGACGGGGTCTCATTCGGCCGCAGGAGAAGAAGGTGGAGGCGGTACGTTCTGCTCCGAGACCCGAGACCAAGACCCAGGAACGAGCCTTTTTAGGGTTGGCAGGGTATTATCGCTGCTTCATCCCCAACGTCTCCTCTTTAGCCGCCTCCCTGACAGACTTGACCAGGAAGGGGCAGCCGGAGAAGGTACAGTGGACACCAGCAGCGGAGGAGGCCTTCCAGAGGGTGAAGGGGGCCCTCATCTCGGAGCCCATCCGCCGAGCCCCGGACTTTAGCTGCCCCTTCCTGCTGCAGACGGATGCCTCCGACACAGGACTGGGAGCCGTCCTGTCACAGATCCAGGAGGGTGAGGAGCATCCTGTCATCTACATCAGCAGGAAGCTGATCCCAGGCCGAGAGGAACTACGCCGCGGTGGAGAAGGAGGCCCTAGCCGTCAAGTGGGCAGTCCTGGAGCTGCGGTACTACCCCCTGGTCACGGACCACACACCCCTTCAGTGGATGGCCCGCGCCAAGGATACCAATACCATGGTGACCCGATGGTTCCTCGCGCTCCAGGACTTCCACTTCGAGGTACGTCATCGGGCTGGAGCCGCGAATGCCAACGCGGATGGCCTCTCTCGGATCTGGGCAGCTTTCGCAGGTCTCTCAGGGGTCACTCCCCACCCACCCCCTATCTCTCCCCTACTATCTCATATCGTTAACAGGACCAGGGCGACGCTTGGGGGGGGGGGACAGGGACGAGCGTCCCGAGGCTTCATCAGCATTGCCCTGGAAACAAGCGAGGAGCACCTGGCCATCATCATCACAGGCTGATCGGTCACAGCTGCACCTTTATCAGGCGGCGGCTACATAAGCCACGCAAGCCCTGCCATCTAGGAGATTCCTCCATGAGACTGAGCACTAACTCGCCCTCTCATTTTCCCCACAGAAAGCAGCGTGTGACCGACCAGCCCCACAGGAGCACTGCACGGACCCTCTGCACTGGGAAGACGGAAGAGAGCACTCACGGCACCGGAGCACCTACCTGGACCTTTCTCACTAGCACCCCTCACCCCAATAAATCCACCCTCCGGGGTATTGATTGAAATTTCTTGTCGTGTGATTCTTCACCCCGTTACTATATACGTATATATATAAAATGAAATACAAGAATGAATGAAAACTTATAAAGTTGTACACAAGAGTTCCAAGAAACTCACAGGAAGTTTGAAATATCGATGTATGTTTGCCATGAACTAATAGCACCCCACTTAAATGACTTCACTGCTTGTAAAGTCACAGAGTAGTCACAAGAGTAGCACAGGATGGATAAAAAAAAGCCTAAGCGAAAGGACAGCTGGAGAAGGACAAAATATAAATGAACTTTGAGTCTGACAGCTACTGTATGACAACAACACAGGAAGCATCCAGTAAGAGAGAACATTATGCTTTTTTCTTTTTTGCTTACATTTTTGTTAGGTTTACAAACAGCCATCAATTAAATGAAAAAGATAAAAACTATGTTAGTGTAACTGATTTAAGAAATACATAAATACAGGCCGCATGGTCTTTGAACAGGTGGGCGAGAATAAGCTTCAAGTTTTCTGCCTCACAACTGTGGAAGAATAGTCATTGGCTTGACTCAGGGGCCTATTGCATTTCTTTTATCCCATTCTGTAAAAATAGCTGCAATTAAGAAAGGTGTGAGGATTTACAGGGAGATCTAGAGGGACACTGATGAATGTTTCCCACGTGAATCAAACGTAGGGTTGCTGGGTCACTGTGGTGGGATAGACCTACATGGGTGTGGTCTCAACATAAAACCTCCTTTCATGACTCTCACTGAGGGTGAATAGGAGAAGCTTTAGAAATATGAGAGGGGATAAAGTAGCTAAATATATGAACGCACACTTCCAACAACCTAAACCCAAATTCTCCAAGTCTTATTGCTAAATGGCCTTTAATGTTCAGCTCTGTAATGTTAATGACACCTGTCATTGAGTGTCTTTAATGCAAGATACAGCAGTTTCTACAGAAACAGGATTTGCACACCTTTAAAAAAATAGGTTGTTACCATTTACTCACCCTCGTTGTTCCGAACTCATGCAAGTTTCATTTCTTCTGAAGGACACAAAAGAAGATTTTTGAAAAGTAACATCAAACCTCTTTGGTTCTTGTGTGTCATACTGTATGGCTTGACATCTTGCCACAACAACCAATGGGTGATGATATTACTGATGGATCACCATTTGTTGACCCAATTGACTTTTGGATAAAAACATTCTTCAAATATCTTCTTTTGTCTTCTGCAGTAAACAGAAAATTGACACAAGGGTGAGTAAATTGGGTGAACTATTCCTGATAAACTTAGTCTGAAGTGCATAGAGGAAGTCTATAAGGACATTGTTTGCAACATTCTCTTTGAAACAATGCCTTTTAATGACATTTTAATGAAATACGGTTTCTCACTTACCCCCAAATACAGTCATCGGTGTTTGTGTACATGCAAACACTGTCAAATATGTGGTTAATTTTATAAATAAAACCATAATGTATCAATAGAACCATGGAAACATAACAAATAACTAACAATTAACACCAACAAAGAGAACCAAACTTTACCAGTAACCTATTATGCGTCTTCCACCTAACACAATTACCTCACCAACTCTTTCTGATATGGTGAAACATGTTTCCATTTATGTTGCAATGGCTGAGTAAAGGTTGCGTACAACTTTACAACTAGGAAAAGTGCACAGAAGATTGCAGGTTTTAACTCAAACCAGAAGGCACCACCTGGTACAGCTCTGAGTTTCTCTCTTTCCCACTCATCCTAAGTTACACCTGGCCAGGTGAGAAGATAACCACATCAAAACGCTGGTAGTCAATAACTGCATGTGTGCACGCACAAACACACATTAGTTTCACACCAAAGCACAGTGTCTAATACTGTTCAGGCCTGGGCGAGTGTCTGATTGTTATTGTAAATCTAGCATTGACTTGGCTTCTTTGTCATTAGAGCATATTGTGCGGGCCACTCCTTCAAAAGTTTTAAGATTCAAGTTTTTCCAGATTTCAGATCTTTTTCTTTGTTGATTTAATACATAATTCATCATACTAACCTTTAGGAATTAAACCTGAAAGTAGTGCATAAAGTACCATTAAAGCAGACAGAGCACTGTTGGCCACAAATGTAAGTGCCTTCACTAAACTGTGCCCAAAATATTGCTGTCTGATTAGTTTTTGTTTCTCTCTTTTGAGTAGACTAAGCACCATAAAGTGAAAAAAAAGTGCTCACGCATTTATGAGAGCCCTATCAAAACCTGGAAACGGATCCTCTACAATGACCGGAGAGCACATGAAAGCATACCCTTATTGGAAAATAATACCCTATATAATAATCCCTGGGTCGCTAGCTAATTATACTGCTTTATGAGCAGTCATGGTCATTAGTTGTTATCTATGGGGGTGGAATGACCTCTTTCAAGTCCATGTCTCCAACCTGTTCATTAGTTCCAAACCAGCTGGAATGAATGAGAGGTTTTCTCTCTGTTTCCTCCCTTTGATGCTTTAACTGTTTTTTTGTTTTTGTTTGTTTTTGAAAGACTGGACTATTTTCTGCTAATTACAGTTTGTCTGTGTGTAGCCTTACTATGTATAACTATTTCTAATACTTTTCCACTTTGTGCTTTCCATGTGTGTATGCATGTATACACTACCGTTCAAATATGTAGTTAAGATGTTATAATGTTAAAAAAGATGCTTATTTCATACTTTAATAAATGTTGTTCTTTTGCACTTTATATATCAAGGAATCTGAAAAAAATATCATGCTTCCACAAAAATATTAAGCTTCATTATTTGTTTAAATATTAAAATAATATGCTAATATTGTTGGTTTTTACTGTATCAAATAAATTGCAGCCTTGGTGAAGAAGGATTTTACAAAAAATAAAAAATCTTACCAACACCAAACTTTAGAACAGTAGTGCGTACATACAGTATATTCTGCATTTTTTTCTTTTATATATGCAAATTCTTCCATAAAGAGACAAATTATGCTATATGAAGCACTGTAATAATAACCTATACAGGTGGGTCCAAAAGGTTTGAGACCACTAAGTGAATTGGTCCTTTTTAAAAAAAAAAAATTATTACATTTGTATTACCCATTGTATTACAATTGGGTAAAAGTACATTTTCAGAATGTCTCAGTATTTAGCCTATGATTTTTATTTATTTATTTGTTTGTTTGTTTGTTTATTTATTTTTATTTTTGCTGACAATGTTACATTTCTGAAATGGTATGACTGCTGTAATATAAAGCACTATGGAGCATTCCATTGTCCATACCATGGGGCATCGTGTACTGAAATGCTGATGAAGGTCTCTCATCAGCTGTTAACAGAGAAACAAATTTCACTGGGAGTTGCAAACAGAAATAAAGTCTCAACCTGCTGTGGCACAGGTGTGCAGAAAACACCCTTAATTAAAACTTAGTTTTTAAAAAAACTTTTAAAAAAGTTTTAAGAATTAAAACTGTGGTATCTCTCTCAAGTGTCTGATGACATGAGACCTGGAGCGGCATCTGTGGAAATGATGTGATGAGAGATGGAATGCCCTCTACCACATATCCACACGAGTAAAAAAGTGAAATTTGCTTGGACTGACCAATGTGAATTGTGATATGAATGTGTGATTTATGCCCTACTACTTTAGTTACAATAAACATGAAGGTATACTGTTTTTCCCCCCAGAAGCATTTCCTTTGCTTGAGTACATCTCTAATAGAGCACAGCACTGTATGTATGTATCTGCATGGACTGCTGGAAAACACTTACCATTGTAAAATGTTGGGAAAAGGCTGATTTATTTTAGAAGTAAAGTATCAATAGAGATTTCAGTTAATTCCTGCCCATTGCCGTTGACTGAAACAAAAGGAAGGAGTGGTGAATAGAGAGAGATAGTGTTAGTGTATCCAAACAATTGAATAACCTCAATAATATTCTCAGTGCTTACGCTAGATTCACACGGGGCATCGGCGTCAACACTTGACTGACGGCATGTCTGAAGCTTGGTGCTGACAGGATCATCATAGTGACAACAACCAATTACATTGGACCGCAGTTGACTAGTGCCTGAGGTAGGGTATTTGCATAAGGCGATCTGATTGGCTGACGCCTCCCTTGGTGCTTGAAAAGTTGAGAAATGTTCAACTTTTGCCGCGAGCAACGCCAGTGATGTGACGCCGACGGACCCACAATTCAGTTCAGCAACGCATGACGTCACCCATTCTAAGTAAATGAGAATCATTAACGCTGACGCCCCCGTGTGAATGTACCGTTACAGTATATTAAAGCACCACTGTGTTTTATAGTCTGTTTGCCTCTCTGTTATGGTTATGGTCTCTATGGTCTACAGATCATCTCTCAGTCTACAGACCATGGACAGTCTAACTGACATTAGAAATGTTCTCTCATTCTCACTAACCTTCAGCTCCTGTATTGTTGCTGTTGTTTTCATTGAGAGCATCATCTAGGGATTCCATTGAAGTTTTGTTGGAGATCGTCGGTTCTCCATCAGTCAGATCCACTATGGTCAGCCCATCCGTTTTATCCTTTGTGTTCACTGTGGCCTGAGTGCTGGATACATTTGGTTGGTTTTCTTGTTTAACATCAGCTGATTCTGTAGGGAATGCAATATGTGTAAGAATTAGTTTTTGGTTGTGGTTATTATAATAGTTCTCAATATCTAAAAGTATGATGTCACACAAAGAAATATAACGTAGTAACAAGCATAATACATCATTTTTACATTATGTAAAATACTTCTTTTTTGCACAAGCTTACAAATTTTTCCATAATTGTAAAGAATGTAGTCACACATACAGGAGCCTGAAGTTCAGTTCAGATAAAAAGCAAAATAAGTTTGTATTCTATTCACACCAAAAATGAAAAGAATATGTATATTCCAACCAGCTGTTTTTAATCGAAAAACAATTTTACGCTGGCACTGTTCAAATGTGAATACCCTTATACACTCATCAAATATTTAAACTTTACTATTTATCAGGGTGGCCGTGGGTCCTTAAAAAGTCTTTAAATGACTTAACGTCTTCCTAAAAAAAGGCATTAAAAAGTCTTAAAATGTCTTACATTTAGATTCAGTATGTCACATTACCACAAAAATCTCTCCAGTCTGACGGACCCAGTGACTGTTTACAATCATCGGACAGATTAAAGATTTTTTTCCCCACTGTAGTCAACGCGTCATCAGAGAGAATTGCGGTAGCAGAATCCAGTCGAACACCAGCTGGTTGAGCAGCCTCCTAGCTACTTTAAATGGTTTAATGCAAGTTTACTGAAAAATGGCTGAAGAATTTTACCTGCCCTATGGGAAAGCTAGCTTGATTAAAACTTAAGTGACAAAAAAATAACTAGTACGCATCAAAACGTGAGAATGATTCTTCTGATTTTATTACATTCAGCTTAACGTATCAATGTCGCACTGTTGAGGATTGTGCTGTCTTTCTCTCTCAGAGACTTTCATGGAGAAATCAAATCAAATAGGTAACGGCACACATAAAGAAACTCACAGAACAAACATACTGAGGTAAACATTTTAAATATTTAGTTTATTTATAACATGATGTAGTTAACACACCTTGACAAGGGGGCTATTTTGCTTTGGCAATTTTCACGATTGCAAATGTTACACTGATTTTCGTTCAACAAACAAGTAGTTAAGTATGTAAAGTTATTTACATTTTAGTCACAATATTGACTTCTATATTTTGTTCTTTCACCAACGGAAATATTTCCAAACAAAGATCAGAACAGAAGTATTGCACATTCTCCAAGCAACACAAGGCATGTTTGTTACTGAATGATTGTGCGTTTTGAAGGAATCGGTTGAATTAATGAACCACCTACTGGCGGTTTAGTCTCATGTTTAAAAGTATGCATTTTCCCCCAACATTTTATTTGTATATTCAAAATTGTATTTAAACATTATTTACTGCAGTTGTAATTTTGCAGTGTCAATTATTTAATTTGATTGGTAACAGCCAGTGTATATTGAATTTCTTGATCAATTGTAAGAATTTGTCATGAAAGATGATGCCTACATTTAATAAGTTTAAAAATATTGGCCTTTATAAAGGTATAACACCCTGGGGTAGATATTAAAAACATGCAGAATTAAGTATGTAAAAGCTGATAAAACAATAATGAAAGCCAGGAAACGGACTGAGACCCATTAGTTCCTAAAGAGGAACCAGTGGAGCTTGTCAATGACAGGCAACAGATTTTGGTGGGAAAAAGAACCATCCTGTGATTACAGGGTGCTTGAGAAACTGAGACCATAGTGAGTAATGCTAAGCCATTGCACCGCTTGCTATAGGCAAACAAACCCACTACACCCTTTTGTTAGTCACGTTTGTTACTTTTACGTTGTCATCTTGTCTAGCATTTTACAAGGTGTTCACAGCCTAATCCATAAACACAAGTACATTTGATGTTGTAACTTGCCTTAAATGAATCAATTAGATTTAAGAATGTAGGTACCTGTAGTATGGACTAAATACATAAATAAATCATCTTTTGTGTTCTGTAGTACAAGAAATCATACAGTTTTGGGATGATATGAGGGTGAATAAATTATGACAGAATTTTCATTTTTGGGTGAACTATCCCATTAACACCAGGATCTGGGCTAGTTTAACATGAATTCAGTCCAAAAGTCTTAACGCCATGTACTAAATGTACTAATATAAATTAACAGAGCATTATTCAGTTTCGTCCTATCCTATGAATACAATTTTTTTCTTCTGAATAAATTGTTATACCACCAACTCAGTGATGCGGTGCTTTTGTGGGGATATTTTGTATGGGATATTGTCTGCTAGTATGAAAAGTTCATTGTATATCGTAATAATAAATAGCATTTTTGACAGTGTTGATATTTTGTTTTCTTTTTACATTAAACACATTAAATATACGTATACCTATGTGTATATCCATCGCAGGTTTGGGCTTAAATTTCACATAAGGTGGTATTAAAAAGGTCTAAAAAAAGTCTTAAATTGTACTTGTTCATATCTGTAGACACTTATACTTTTTTCCCGACAACTCCACAAAAACACAATTGCACACAAAACACCTGGGTGTCTGGCCGCAGTGGTTTCAAACCTGAGGATATCTTGTGGTTTCTATCATTTTCAGTGCAGTAAATCTTACAAATTAGCATTGGAAGAAACCGAATGAGCAGGTGGTAGAAACAGCCTTGTGACTGGAAAGTCAGCACTTACAGGATAAAGAGGCATCGTTAAACCATTAGTCACTATGTCATTGCAATGCACACTTCTGTTTTATTTTTTCCTCCATGGTCATTTTCTTTCCCTCTCTCACTGTTACTCACTCTCTCCAACCATGTAGTTGATTTAGACCTGGAGGCAGTTGCAGTAAGTAAAGCTGCTAAAGCCAGGAAATGGACTGAGACCCATTAGTTCCTAAAGAGGAACCAGTGGAGCTTGTCAATGACAGGCAACAGATTTTGGTGGGAAAAAGAACCATCCTGTGATTACAGGGTGCTTGAGAAACTGAGACCATAGTAAGTAATGCTAAGCCATTGCACCACTTGCTATAGGCAAACAAACCCACTACACCCTTTCGTTAGTCACATTTGTTACTTTTACATTGTCATCTTGTCTAGCATTTTACAAGGTGTTCACAGCCTAATCCATAAACACAAGTACATTTGATGTTGTAACTGGCCTTAAATGAATCAATTAGATTTAAGAATGTAGGGACCTGTAGTATGGACTAAATACATAAATAAATCATCTTTTGTGTTCTGTAGTACAAGAAATCATACAGGTTTGGGATGATATGAGGGTGAATAAATTATGACAGAATTTTCATTTTTGGGTGAACTATCCCATTAACACCAGGATCTGGGCTAGTTTAACATGAATTCAGTCCAAAAGTCTTAAAGTCATGTACTAAATGTACTAATATAAATTAACAGAGCATTATCCAGTTTCGTCCAATCCTATGACTAAAAAAATATGAAAATGACATTAATGAAGGTCAGAAACAAGTTTGAGAAATTCATGGAGTATCAAATGAATGTTTTTGTTGATAAAAATCTATATATATTTTAAATCACAGTCTCTCAGATCAGTTTAACCCCCTTTAAGCATTCTGTGGGTGATATTGTGTGAATAAGTAATCTATTTTTTGTACTGCTGAAAAATGACAATGTCGTAATTAAGGGAACTTCTAAAGTTTCTCAAACTGCTAGACTGTTTAGGGAAATAGTGTAATATCCTGTTGCAAGAGTGGTGAGGGTGAAACACATAAGCTGTCATTATTTCCAGTCAACTGCAGTCACCTTCACTCTTCAGTTTTCAATAGAGTGCTGGGATTGTTGATATCCCAGATAAATAAAAGGCGCTATGTGCCCCCATCTCTGAGCAATGACCAGAAAAAATGACAAAATCCTCTACCAGCAAACCCAAACAACCAATGGCATCTTTATTTCTGTTATGGGTCTTCCAGATGGTAGGGATCAGACACAAAGACCAGATGCTTCTGGTCAAAAATGGCCATTTCCTAAATGCTGTAGGCATTGAAACATGTCCATGCAGGCTCAGTTCAGATAATGGTTTCTGGCAGACACTAGAATATCAGCACAAGATAAATGTTTTGTTCAGAACTAGAAATCTTAAATATTTCTCCTACGTTTTTTTTATTGTATTGTATTGTCAGAATTGAGCACAAGGATTCTTACAGCACAGTGCAACAGCTGCAGTTGAAGATTATTGGATATTGCATGGCTTTAAGCTTGGAGTTTCCATATAAACTGAGCATACTGAAGAAACTGGACCAGCCCTAAATTTGAGAATTTGGAAGTTTTTTTTATTTTCTTGTTAATTTTTAGTTATCACTGTTTGAACATTGTTGTAAAATGTAGGATTCTTTACTGAGAAACTGGCAGATACATACTATTGTCTTAGAAGTCCATCCAGTGGAGCTCTCTGTTATTGCAACTAGTTCAACAACAGTGTTCTAGTCACTGGCTTGACTAAAATGACTTGTGGATCATAGACAAATCATTTTTGCTCTAGTTGAAAACTTTAGTACAGTAGAGTTTAGTACAGTAGTTTAGGAACTTTCAGCACTGTTTCAAAGTTTGGGGTCGGTATGATATTTCCTTTAGAAATGTAACTGACCCCAAACTTTTGAAAGGTAGTATTTATTTTATTTCATTTTATTTATAAATTTTGAATAACAGCTACCCGTATTCCCTTTGTAGTGTTGGGCGCAGCTTTCTCTCTCTCTCTCTCTCTCTCTCTCACACACACACACACACACTTGTTTCATCTGGTTGGTTCTTATGCTCCTTAGTTCTTTATATAGGTCTTCACACATTGACGAAAATTAGTGAAAACACAACAGTCAGCACATGTGTGTTGAATTAAATTAAACTATAATGCATTACTCAAGATTACGTGATTGCCATAGAGTATTTGACAGAAATCAGCTGCTTGTCTCATACCTTTCCCTCCCTCAGGCTTTTCAGCTTCCTTCACAGGCGCAGGGTCCTTAAGCGGCTCGGTGGACTCGACAGGAGTGAATGTTTGTATATCTTTGGGAACAGTGTAGAACACAGGGTCAGTGTAAATAGAGAAATCCCTGTGGTGATGGAAAGTTAAGAATGTCAGGTACCTTTGACTGATGTGGTGTCAAACACCTCTACATCCACTGTGCTGAGTGGGATCTGAGCATCTTCTTGTTTGGGATGTGAGTCCACAGAGTACTTCTGCATTAAACATGATCAGTATGTAGTTTGTATATCTGATGTAATGATTATAAAATATCAAATGCACAGGGAGCCACATATCAAGGCTATTAATTTTATTACTGGTTTTCCAAATATTCTTGTTAGTAATCATTTACAAAAAATGTCTTACCCTGGAGTTCTTTTGAAGGCAACAATAAACTACTGCCCCAGAGAGGCACAAAACAACTATAATCAGGATAATTATGTAAGCTGTTGAGAGTAAAAAAATAAATGAATAAAAATAAGATTCATTAAAAACATATATCTTGTTATCTGTCTATTCAAAATAAACAAGGAAACTGAAATAAAAATATTAATAGACACTGACAATAAAGAAAAAAAGTCACTCACTTGGTCCATGGCTTTTGCCAGGTTTTGGTGCTTGAATTGCTGTAAAAATAATAAATTATGCATAGATATACATGCATTGCACAAATAAAATAAGTATTTTTTTTGTGAATAGCAAATTTATGATCTAATATACAGTTTTTTTGTTTGTTTGTTTTTTTACATTAATTGCTTTAAGTGGTTAATAAAAATAATTTATTTTGACAGACGATGACAGTTTTAAGAGTGTGCTAGAGCACATACAGGTACTTCCTGTGTGAGAATGACTCATTATGATTAAAGTTAGAGGTTAAAACAGAATTCGCACATTGCTCTTTTGTGCAAAATCAAATGTCATATATTTATGATGAAAGGCACAATCAGTGATCATTATGCTTGCACAGTATTGTCTCGCTTACTGGTTGTTTTGCTTGCTGTGCTTTTGATCATATTTTTTGTGCTTGATTGTGAATCCTTTTTCAGAGGGTTGTCTGTAGTGTAATTCTTGGTCTGTGGATGTTCTGAGGGCGGAGGAGTAGGTGATTCTGTTGGCCAAAAAGGGCAAAAACAAATCACCAAATGTAACGTTCTTTGGTTAGAGGTTCCCATTTTTGTATCAATACTGAAGCAAGCAGCATAGCATATAAACTGTCTTACAGTTTTTCTACCAATTGTACCATATTGCTGCATAAAGTGTGTGGACACTTAATTGACAGCTGATCAAGCAAAATGAAAAAGCTACCTGACGTGGTATTTCCAACCGTCATGTTTGACAGGGCGACAGTGGAGTTTGGAGTGGTAAAGTTGTCTAGAAAGCCCTCTGATGGTTCATTGATTAGGGTGGTGTTGTCAATAAACATTGAAACTGGAGCAGTGGTGATTTCTGTGCTGCTTATTGTTGTTGCCTCATTTTCAACAGCAAAGACAAATAAGGCACCTGCATTGTACCAGATCAAGGTTTGGTCAGGTCATGAGGAGCATAGATATTACAATCTACAAATTATTACATCTATAAATTACAAGTACATCTACAATAATGGCTGAATGACCAATGGAAACCATTTTCCACCCTTAAATGTACAGTAGGAAATAGACGATTAGTTAGTTGATTATTTACATCTTATTTAATTCTGCTCCTTTTCTTGTTTTCAATTCGCTATTCGCACAAATTTGAGCAGTTACTCAAATAATAAATAAATACATTAAAAAACAGCAACAACAACAACAACAACAACAACAAAAATATATCTTTAAACATACCAATGAGGAGATGAATTGATGCGCAGCACATCTTTAGAGAAGATACGGTCTAGTCAAATGTGTGTTCCTTCCTCAGGACAGCAAATGCTCAGTTTGAAACCGCATAACTTCCACTTCTGTGACCAGCACAGGATGCAGCAGACAGTTACCCAAAAATGGCACATAAGGAACTTGTGCACTTTTGAAAAGCCTTGTTTACTGCATTTGCATTATTCAACTAATTAAAGTAAACAGGTTGTGTGTGCTTTTTGTTTACATCAAAGGAATAAAGGGAAATACAGATGTATAGGAACATATGTGGTGCATTGCGGTTAAGCACAATGTAGTTTCATTATAGATATTTATTATCACAATTAGTTTCATTATAGATATTTCACTTCCTAAGTTTAACCGTTTTTTTAAATATATAATTTCTATACACCTCTCAGAAAAAAGGTACAAAACTGTCACTGGGGTGGTACCTTTTGAAAATGTACACCTTTGTACTTTATTTACTCCTTAAGGGTGCATATTAGTACCTCAAACGTACATAACAGTACCCAAATGATACTATTAAATATTAGCAAAGAAGGCTGAGAAAAATCTGCATTGTTTATACTTTTGATCGTTCATTAGTTTCATTATGTCCACAATTATTAGCACCCCTTGAAATTCTTATGAAGAAAATATCTATAAAGTATATTCCCATTCTTATTTACATTTTTTAGCACAGCAGGGTGACTACAAACATGAAGTTGTTCAGTCATGACTTCCTCTTTCACAGGAGTATAAATATGAGGTAACACAAAGACCACATTTGCTTAATCATTCATCAGAATAAGTAAAACCAAAGAATATAGTTCTGATGTGCAGAAGACGACTGTTGAGCCTCACAAAATAAAAAGTGGCAGTAAGAAAACAGCTAAATAGCTAAAGCATCAAGCTAACAAATTCCCATTTCCACCATCAGGGCAATACTTAGTAAGTTCCAATCAACTGGTGATGTTATGAATCTACCTGGAAGAGGACGCGTGTCTATATCAGCACAGTGAGGAGGACAGTTTAAGTGGACAAAGACTTTCCAAGGATCACAGCTGGAAAATTGCAGAAATAATTGTGTCTTGGGATCGGAAAACCTTTGAAATATCAGACAGTACCTACATCACCCTTATTTGCGGGAATTTCCTCTGCTCACGTTCAAAAACAAACTCCAGCATGTTCATATTCCAGTCACTACTGGAGCTTCTAATGGGACTGGTTTCAATGATCAGATAAAACAGAGCTTTTTAGCTCTCATGAGATGGGTTTAAAGGGATACACAAGGATAAAAAGTACCCCACGTCCACGTTTAAATATACTGCTGGATCTTTAATGCTGTGGGCTTATTTTTCTGCCGGAGGTCCCGGACATGTTGTTCAGATACATGGCATCATGGATTCTATCCACTGATCTATAATAGAGAACTGGATTGCTCATGACGTCATAAAAGTGAAGCTGCCGCACCGCCATATTGGTATCCCCCAGTATTCCCATACATTCTATTGAATTAATAGGAAATCGTATGATTTGAATGAGAAAACATCACCTAACGAGTATCCCTGTACATACAATGCAAACCTCCTGAGCATGTAAATGGTTATTTGTTTAATGTCGGGAATTTCCCCTGCATAAAAGTTATGTGTCCTATACATAACCGCCGTGAATATCAGATGAACATGATGATCATCACACGGACAAATACACAACATATGCATTTCAAATGACAAAGTGCTCATGAAATCTGAATAAAGATGTATGCTTTGTATTTATGCGTTAATTCATCTTACGTTCACGCTTTATGTAATTATGTTGTTTTTTATTCATACAGTAGGGTAACTGTAAATGTTTTTCTAACAATGATTTCGTTAACTTCAGTTTTTAGCAGTTAATGATTTAAAGGTCGGTTAAATTAATAATTAATTAAATTGAATTAAATTAAATGAATTAAAATATACATATTACTCCTGGAAACTAAAATGCCATAGAATTTGTGCCATCTTGAGGAGTCTGACATAGATATTGCTCCCTCAGGACATAAAATAATGCATGCATCATAACTTATTCAGAGAAATAACACTGACTGCGTATGCTACGGACTTAAAGACATGAAGCTTTATTTCCAAGATGAAGCGGTAAGCTTTGAATTTCAATACAATATAGAACAATACAGTAACAGGCTTGTATTGTAATATGTATTGTATATCCGAATCAATTTCAGATACCAGATATATATTCATGTTTAATATTTCCTGCATAATTACTTACATAAAGAAATATATTTGTGTTGGATCAGACACATGTGTTGGCAGTGTGTAGCTGACACACCCACCTTAACAATTTCAGTATATCGCTTATCCTGCCCAAAAAGACCATAAACATTGCAGCTAACATCTGATGTAAACATTTATTTACATACACATATCTTAAAAACTAATCCTGTGTGACTGATATGCTTCAAATCGGGAGATTTTAGGTCAGTGTTTTGGCTGTCAGTCAATAAAGCTCTCAGCCAGTAGGGAATAGTAAGATGACGGTTCGAACACTTCCGGTGCTTCACCAATGAATGGCAGTTTAGAACGCGATGAGCGATCCAGTCATATATATATATATAT